TACTGATTGCCTTTTTTTAAAGGTGGACTGATGTGTGACTCTTCAATAACAAAATGTACAAATCCAGAGCTGACAAGGGAAACTGCATGTAGAATCTCTATCACAATGCTAACCATAGGTCTTAATGAGACTCATTTACAATCATCTCCTCAGTCTGGCTGTCACCCAAATTCCATTTTAGAGCAATGGCTAACTTAATCTGCAGACTGTCTGTGCTCCCCTCTCATGACCCAACTGTACATCGCCTTGGGACGTCCTCCCGACGTGAAAGGCGCTCTATAAATGGAATCTTGTTTTTAGTTAACATATGTGAAGCCCTAAATATTATTTTGAGCCCCTATATATTTTACCCTTAAGTACCAATTATTTGCATAAAGTAGACTTAAAATAAAACTAGGCAAAGATAGTTTTGTTTTACATAGCCCCATGTGCACTGTTATTACAGTAGAGCCCTGTTTATCCACGTGTCATTTATTCACAAGTCTGTTCATCCACATCTGATGCAAAAGTTGGGTGCGAGGTTGCTAGGAAATTTCTGAGCATGCAATTTAGTGATCATGACAACCTTGCGCGCAAGATCACACATGCACACAGCAGCATTTTTTGACATCTCTATAATTTTATTGGCTGGGTAATTGGCTCTCTACTGTATTGGTTTGTGATTGAATGATGGCAGGTTTGCAGCAGAGATGCAAGCAAACTAGAATGTTATACAACCCTGGTTCCTGAACTCATGACCATTTGGCTAGCTGGAAGAAAAACATGGTGTTGCATGTGACACTCTGGTACTGTGCTACAGCCTACTTGTAACACAGCATACCAATTTGATATTTAACTCTTAAAATTCTATTAAGTAAAAATTATTTGTTTAACCTATTTGTTTGTCATACTGAAGGAGCAATTATTAAAAACCCACTGATAGAAAAAAAATATTTAAAAACTTTGCTTTTTAATACCTTTGCCCCCAACTTAATTTCCTTCCCTCCTGAAAATGCTGGCTGCCTTCTGACAGTTTTCCAAGTATTTTCCTGTGGAACAAGACATTGAAAATCAGCAGATGTTTTAATAATAATAATAATCTTTGCATTTGGTCAAGAAGTCTCAAAGTGCTTCACAGGATGAACTGTAAAGTGTATTGACTGTATTTTGTGGGCAAAACGTGGCAGCCAGTTTCAGCACAGCAGTGTCCCACAAACAGCTATGGAGTGATTGATCAATTTTAGTTTCAATGGTGGGGGAGCATCGCAGGCATGCCCATCCTATTTGAATCAAACATCGGTACATGTGCACTTCACCAGAGAGGGATGCTGAGAATGGTTGTTGTGTTCCTCCACCCACACACCCCCCTCCCGCATCTGTTAACTCTTTAGATTGAATCTGGGACCTTCCAATTCTGTTATAGCTGTTTCACTATACAATACTTACCAACACTATACTTACTAATAAAATTGCTGGGAGTTGTTTTAAACAAAGTTTAGGTTAGGCTAGATAATGTGCAGTTGACATTTATTTGACATGACATTTATTTTGAAAACCTATTACAACATCCAAGAATAATTTCAACCAAAATATTTTAAATTATTTATCATTCTATTTAGTGTGATAATCTCTACAGAACTGCAGCAAGCAAAATAAACAATATATCTGTAGCTATCTCCTTTTCATGAAGCAAATTTGATCATATCAGTCAGTTTTCATTATTCAAAAGAGAATGCAATTTTTCTAGTGAGTCGGAATGAGTACAAATCTAAGTTTAAAATCTCAAGTTTTTGCAAATTCACAGAGTTTAAGTAAAAGTACAGAGAAAGTGAGGTTTGCTAAGTTCAGCAATGAATTTAATTTTTTTCGATAGCGCAATGGAAACTCGGTGCTGCATCAGAGAAAGTGAAATCAATTGCAGTTTTTGAGATGTGACTCGGGAAATGGGAGGTGATTCCAATTCCTGTTTTAAATACAACTACAGAAAATCCACAATTAACACTACAAGAAGTGACTTTCTGGGTAAATTACAATTAGGAGTATCAGTGGAATTTTGTGAGCTTAGACATGACTCATATTCCAGTATCGTTCCACAGACAGCAACAGTCCTCTAGTATTTCAACCAAATGGCTTTTTTATGTGTCAGCCTGAACAGTGAGTGTCAGGGTAATATTTAACTGCAGGGGCTCATGCCAAATCTTGTTCTCGGAGGGCATTTCTCACATGCACATTTGTAGCAGCAGTTATTGGACAGCAATTGGGAACATGAATCCTGACCTATTGTTTAACCTTCGAGTCTTGATTTTGAGGAGGAATTCGAAACCGATCAGTGAACCAACTTGGGATTTTGCAGTTATCCTTTGAGGCATTGTGCAATGGAACTTTCATTATATTTTTCCCACAAAATATTCTACTCATATTAAAGGTAAATTGGGCAGTTTTCCCTCCTGTATTATATGTCTACACTGGTTAGACTCAATCAGTCTAATCCAATTCAGTTTATGTCATGGACTTGTTTTGTATGGTGCAACAATACACAATTTAATAAATGATTGCAAAAGGGATTTTAGGAAAGTTGTGGGTGATCTTTGCAAAAAGAGACAAACCTACCAAAAGATCACTGCTGTTTTGCAGAATTAGTCCAGCATGCAAAATATTGGTCAATCCACAAATCCTCATTTAATGAATATAATTATCAAAAAGCATAGGTCTAGGACTTGTTTTATCAATTTGGATTTCTTCAAGAAAACATTTTTCTTATTCCGTGTTTTGTTTTGGAATTTGTGGATTTGTTTTGCTCACAGCCAAAAACAAAAGCCATGGACATCAGTTGATCAATATTTTGACTTAATCATATTTTTTAAGAATTCAAACATCCATGCTACTTGCACAACACAGCCACAACATTGATTTAATGGGTTTGGAAATGTCCAGCTTGTACTCCCTACAGTAGACTCTTTACGTCCTGAAGCACTTTTGTCCGCATCAAGGTGTCGTTTCCACTTCAATTTTTCTGACAAGTGTATTTTCAAACCCAACAGCAAGCTTCAAATATGTTGTCTCATACATTCTTATGCTTCTTTGCATCCTCCCTGTTAAAAAAAAATCAAAACTCATCACATGATCTCTTATTCTGACTAATTCTTCCCCAGAATCTTAAGACTGTAGACCTCCTCGTTATGCTATGCTTGTAAAATGCCCATTAAACCTACTTGTAGGATGAAAAGGGAGGTGAGCAACCATTTATTTACACAGTGGGTGATTGGAATGTAAACTTCTTACAGAAGGAGAAATCCATAAATTATTTTAAAAAGGAATTTGATTAGATGCTTAGAAAGAAGAATATTAAAAGGGATGGGAGAGAGCAGCAATGAGCAATTAGACTAGTTAGATATGTAGAGGGGGGGAAAAACACTGGTGTGGACTTGATGAGTTGTTTCTATTCTATAATATTCTTTGCTTTTACATATCAGCATTCATATTTCAGTGCCCGGTGATCACACAGCTGAACTTCACTGAGTGCTCACTGTTATCCATATCCAGCCAAAGTGGGAACAACATCTAATGAACCATAATTTTGTAAAAGTACAGAATGGTTAAATATAATTTGTAGAGTTCATCAACATTTAGATTTAGTGAAATATCTAACATGACCTATTATGATCTAATGTGTTTGTATTTTTCTGTTTATTGGATCTTGGGTTAATTAGTGCAATCTGCATGTGACATTATTACACATTATCATCAATCCTTTAACAACAACAACAACAAGATTCCATTTATAAAGCGCCTTTCACGTCAGGAGGACGTCCCAAGGCGCTACACAGTTGGGTCATGACCCGAGCAGGGGGGAAATGGTCAGGGTGAGGGGAGGGAAGGGAGGGAGCGAGGAGGGGGGAAATGGTCAGGGTGAGGGGAGGGAGGGAAGGGAGGGAGCGAGGAGGGGGAAGAGAGTCGAGAGGGGAGCTGAAGGCTCAGTCAAAGAGAAAGGTTTTGAGACCGGCCTTGAAGGAGGAGAGGGAGGAAGCATCATAACCAGATGAACAATTACGGTGTATTGAGTAATATATGTTATGCTACAGTAAAAATGCCTCAAATTCGTCTCAAAATGAATGTTACTGCTTAACTACAATGTATCCATCTGACTGCATTCTGGAAAGCTGCAGCTGGACTTCAGCTGCAGGATAATCAGATTTTATAGTGAGCATTTCTTCTCAGTAAATGTTCTCTGTTCAAGTGTACAATATATTCTTTTCACGTCTTATTGAATTCTGATTGCTTAGTGGAAATAAGACCTTTGATGTACTGATACAGTAACTGAGTCTTTACAAATCATCTTTAGTAGAATGATGCACATAAATATTGTTTCTTCACATTTAAACTTCACCATTTGAATGAAAAATATATTTTCCTTTTCAGTGAACTAACTGTTTGCAAGTAAGTCTTGTAACCAGAGCTTCCAATGACTCTTGGTGTTTATCCATTGAGTAGCTAAGCGATATAGACTGATAAGGGCACAGGTTTGATTCCACTTTGTGTTGCATAGTTGATCTTAGGCACGGCAGTAAAAGTTTTAATTGGACCAGATTATGAGGGAAAACAAGCCAGTGTTTTTACTCTTGATTGTTGTCCTTTGCTAGAAGTATGTGTAGATATCAGATGAGGGCAACATTAGAATAACCTGCACGCAAAAAGCCTGCTGGCACTCGTCAAAACTGACAGAAGTGAATAATAACCACTGAAAAGTATTCAAGACTTAAAACAGCCAGGGAACCCTACCCTGGGTTCAGAATGGATGGGTCTCCATTAGCAAAGAAGAAAGGTTTTGGTTGTGATTGATGGCTGATTATTGAAAGTACCTAGTCAGTATGAATGTGGTAACATGATTAACCAAGGCTGGCTTCCACATATGATACTTAGGCATTTTAAGGTCTAATGCTAAACAGCAGATTCTTTTTCCACAGACTTCCTATAGTTTTGACAACTACACAATGCTATAACTGAGATTTTTTTTAAAACAGGATTACCTACTGCCATCTTCCGTTCCAGAGTAAATGGCTGTACGTCGGCACAGAACGAGGAAACACGCACATTGTAAATATTGAGTCCTTTGTCCTATCAGGATATGTCATCATGTGGAACAAAGCAATAGAATTGTAAGTACCATCTAAAACTTATTTCTTGCTTTGGAAGAAAGATTGCATCAGCTGGTCTGATAAGTGGTTGTTAGCACAAACTATCTCAAATCACTTAAATTCACATAAAAGTGGTACATGGGGACGACCTGTGTAAATCTAAGTGTCTGGTGGACGAAAGTGATCTTGACAAAACTGTGAAATAGATTATTTAATACGTCGGACAGCAGTGATTTTCAAAGTTTTTTTCAGTAGTAATGGATACAACATGGGTTGACAAAATACACGGAGAGCTGTTAAATGTACCAAAATAATTAATAATAATAATAATAATAATAATAATCCTTGCATTTGATGAAGCGCTTTTCACGTCTTCTACAACAACAACAACAAGATTCCATTTATAAAGCGCCTTTCACGTCAGGAGGACGTCCCAAGGCGCTGCACAGTTGGGTCAGGACCCGAGCAGGGGGAAATGGTCAGGGTGAGGGGAGGGAAGGGAGGGAGGCTCGGTCAAAGAGAAAGGTTTTGAGACCGGCCTTGAAGGAGGAGAGGGAGGAAGCAAGGCGAAGGCACTGGGGGATAGAGTTCCAGAGCCTGGGGGCTGAGAGGCTGAAGGCCCGACCACCGATGGTAGGGCGGTTGGGGCGGTGGACGTGGAGCAGACCGGAGCCGGAGGAACGGAGGGTACGGGCAGGTAGGTAGGGGGATAGTAGGTGGAGAGGTAGGAGGGAGCAAGGCCGTGAATGGCCTTGTAGGTGAGGATGAGGATCTTGAAATCAATCCTCTGGGGGATGGGGAGCCAGTGGAGGCGAGCGAGGGTGGGAGTGATGTGATCGCGAAGCCTGGTGCGGGACAGTACACGAGCTGCAGAGTTCTGAATGACCTGCAGCTTGTGGAGGGAGGTGCCGGGAAGGCCGGCGAGGAGAGAGTTCCCATAGTCCAGCCTTGAGGTGACAAAGGCGTGGACCAGGGTTTCAGCAGCGTGAGGGGTGAGGTAATGCGTAGTCTGGCGATGTTCCGGAGGTGATGGAAGGCGGTGCCAGTTGTGGTGCGGATGTGAGGGAGAAAGGACAGCTCAGGGTCAAACAAAACGCCGAGGTTCCTGACTGGCTTTGAGAGGTGGAGAGTGCAGCCTTGGATGCTGATGGTGTCGGCGCCTGAGGTGCGGAGGCGCTGACGTGACGTCTCAAAGCACTCCACAGAATAGACTGTAAAGTGAATTGACCGTATATTTGTGGGCGAAATGCAGCAGCCAATTGTGCACAGCAGTGTCCCACAAACAGTCGTGGATTGAAGCGACCAATTTATTGTTTTTTTTCTTGAGGGATTATTATCAGGCGTGTGGAGTAAGGAAACTTGCCCAAGGTTTCACCCTGCTGGGAATCGAACCCAGGTCTCTCGCTTGCAAAGCGAGCACTCTAACCACTGAGCTACAGGACTCCATTGAGCTACAGAACTCCATTGAGCTACTGTGGGATTGCCTGTGAGTTTAATATTAGGAAAGAAGTTGCAAATGATTTTAGCAAATTTGACCAACCAAAATATGTGCTTAACTAAGCACAAAATGTAGGTTTTATAAGGATAGCTTCATAGTAGAATTAATATACTACAACAAAGCATGAGAGAACAAGATCACGAGATTAGTTTTGTTGAAGAAAGCCCTTCAGCTCATCCTTGCAGAACACACAGCCTGCCATTCTTCTGTCACAGCATCAAGCTGCTTTTTAAATTATGCCAGTATCCTGGCCTATACCTCCTTTCTGGCAACCTGATTCAGTTGTTGATTATCCTCTGCATAAAGAAAAACGTCCAGGTATCTGTCCTCAACGTCACCTTTACCACTCTAAATCTATGTCCTCTTGTTTCTCTGTCTTGGTGCATCCTAAAGTATTGATCTGGGTTTACTTTTACAATCCCATTAAAAATTTTATAGACCTCTGTGAGAAAGCCAAGCATCCCAAAGTTAGTGAGATTGTCAGCAGAAAGCAACCAAGTTAGTTTAGTCACTTTAGCAGAATGCATAAAAGATAAATGTTCATTAGAAATGTTGCAGAGGACATTATTTAGTTCATGAAAAAAATAGACTAGGAAATGCTAGGATTAGACAATAAATATCAGATAGCAAACAAACAAACATGTAAAATTAGAAAGAAATGAAAAAGCAGGACTTCTTCTTTCAATGCCAAAGAGAGCAACATTGATTTAATTTATGTCCTCTAATTGTCCTGAACATAAAAGAAAACTAATATTTTGAAGGTTGTTATTGACACCTGAAGTAATATTTTTCCTATGCATATAGGAAAAGGATGAGTATTGTAGTATCATTTCAAAGAAATGCTGCACTTGTGTACTTGCATGTATGCAAATTAATATTTTCTTTTAAATAATATCAATATAACACTCAAGATTAATAAATGTGTTGTGTATGTCTTAAGCTCCCATTGCAAAGTGGATATCAGTGGAAAAGCCAGGTAAATGGGGTCACAGCTGAGCAGAAATGAAAACAACATTGCTTGGGCATCTGTTCATTTTAAATTTCTAAGTTGATGTTCACGCAGGGCCTGATCACAGTCATTTTTATTTGCTGTGTGACCTGCACAGAAATACATTGTACACAAAGGAAATATTTTGTATTATGTATGTGATTGGAGTTTACACTACAAATGTAATATTCTCAGTCTGCCATGTTAGCTTTTTCTTCAGTAGTTCCTAGAATTCCTTGAGATTAAAAAAGTATTTTTCACTCTGAGGTTACTTCTGACTTCATTTTGATTTCTTGCCTTCTGTCTAGTTTATTAATCTTAGTCTTGTTTAGATGATCTATTTTTGATAAATCACGTGTACATACCATGCATGGGAGGGGATAGAAGATTAAGAAAGCAGGTGGTTTATGTGGAGTATAATCACTGTATAATAATATTCTGAATAACACCAGTGTTTTTTGCCTTGATTAAATTGCTCAGTACATTTTTCGAAACATTTGTAATATATAATGAAGGTAATGATATATCATTTGATAATTTCATTTTGTTAACTGTGCAGTTTTATTCAGAAAAGAAGAGATAATATATGATAATCTAGATAAATATGCTGCTGTAAATCATAGGGAATGTATGTTTTACCAACATGTGAAACATCATTTGATTTCTGCATCACTATTCCATATTAACAAGATTTCTAATCATCCCACAATGTTCAAGATTCTGGTAAAATTTGATTGCTGAACCAGGGTAACATTTGTTTAACATCCTGTTTCCTATTACAGTAGAACCTTGATTTTCAGTCACAATGAAGGCAGAAACCCTGACTTTAGTTGATGAAGTTCCACTGTAATACAAAAGGATCTTGTTAAGAAAAGGGGAGGGTGACCGAAGGTATGGTCAAAGAGGAGGGTCTTGAGACGGGTCTTGAAGGAGGCAAGGGAGGGGGTGAGATGGAGGGACTGCGGGATGGAGTTCCAGAGGGTGGAGTCAGAGACAGAAGGCCCGCCTGCCAGTGGTGGAGGGGGCGAGGCAGGGGACGTGAAGCAGGCTGGAGCCCGCTGAGCTGAGGGAGTGGACAGGTTGGTAGTGAGTTAGAAGGTTGCAGAGGTAGGGGGGAGCAAAGCCATGGAGGGCTTTGAAGGTGAGTACTGTATCCTCTGTGTAACGGGAAACCAGTGGAGTTGGGCAAGGATGGGGGTGGTAGGGTCACGGAGTCTGATGTCAGAGAGGACACGGGCTGCAGAGTTCTGGATGATCTGCAGGGAGGAGTTGGAGAGGTAGACAAGCAGGGAATTTGCGTAATCGAACTTGGATGTTATGAATGCATGTATGAGGGTCTCGGCGACCTCGGTGTGCAATGTTGCAAAGATGGGGAAAGGCAGATGTTTTTAAAGGGGTGGGAACGGTGCCAGTGGACAAGGAGAGATTTATGATGTTTGTGACTAGAGTGATGATGGCTTCAAGTCTGTTCCACCATTTAAGATCATGGCTGATCAAGCATTCTTGCTTCTGGTTCATAAGTTTGTGGATTCATCCTCCAAACTTCTCCCAAGCCCGGATCATAGACCAAGATAACAATGGAATATCATGCTGTGAATTTACTGCATTGATAGAAATGTTGTCAGATAAGAAATTAAACAGAGATCCTACCTTTCTTCTGCCTTGTGCACAATCTATGTTGAATAAACAAGGCACAGATAATCACAGATGCAGTGTTATGATGACAGTCATTAATATTAAATAGAAATCTTGAGAATTTACCAGTAATCGATCTATATGGCACATTTTACAAAGGTCGTTATCCTTCTCCAAGGTGAGATAAGTTCTCTATGTCCAGCATGATGTCATCACATCTGGGACAGTGAATCATGCTGAGAAGCAGTAGTGGCAGTTTCAGAATGAAATTCCGGAAACCATGTTTGCATATTGTTTGTATGGAATTTGTAGTTGTTTGGACTTCCTTCAGCAAGATAGGTGTATCCATCAGCCACAGTAATCCCAAGATCTCCCAAGACGAAGAAGACCTTCGGCCCATTTGATCTCATCCTTCCAAAATGCTCACCCAATTCATCCCAAGGGCAGTCCAGTTGCTTGTACCAAAAATTAGAGAGAATATTTGTGCAGTCCTAAACTGTCTTCAAAGATGCAATGACTTCAAGTTTGTGAAGGTTGGATTTTTAGCCTCAAGTATGAGTATTAGTAATCTGATCTCAGACACTTAACAGTCCGGAGAGAGCCCAGATCCATCTGGTGTTAAACTATTATTCACTCACACTCGCTGTTCTGTTTGATTTGTGTAGAGATTTTAAATATTTAATGCGATTTTCTAAAATTTGTTGGCAAGCAGATGTTAGCTCCTCCTTTTAGGAGATATATGTATTGATATGATATATCTACGAACTAGAGTTTTGGCATTCTCCCAAAACAGAGTCAGTAGTCTCTTATGAATGGTTAGTATCCATTCTTTGCATAGAATCCTCCAGAAATGTAGTGAAAGGATATCCTACATAAAGAATTGCTGATTTAAAAGGATAC